CGCTACCTGGTGATCTCGAACATTGGCGAAGAGATCCTACGGCTGGACCGCCGTCTGGACGTCGGTATGATACTCGATCAGGACAAAATACCCCGATCCCCAGGATTCGTCACGTCGCTACCGGGAATGGCAGAAGCTGGCATTGGAATCGACGGTAGATACTAGATCGGAGCCCCGAACTTATAGAGGACTTTGAGGAGCCGGTAGTGCAACGACCATCGAATCCCACGCCACGATCGATACATTGTCGGGCAGAATGCGTTGATATTGACCGAGATCGAACGTTGATATCGACCCTAGAATCTCGAACGAGGGCGGGGGTTGCCGACGCGGACCAGATCGAAGCTGAATTTCTCGATCCAGAAAGGTGACGTCCATCTACGCCAACGACTAGCCCCGATGCCGATCAATACCTGAGCGGCCATACTTAGGGCGGTGGGCTAAGTGAGAGCATGCCGGATCAGGCCCCCGATCGGTCGGACACCAAGGATACCAAGACGGAAAATCAGACTGAAAAGGGAAAATCTGAACTGTCAAACCGAGATGAAGCTCGATACCGGCGAAGTCGCCGGTGTTAAATCCCCGATCCACCCAACTGAGAGCGTCAACCTACGAGATCCGCTGGCGGAAGGAGCAGCAGCTACCACCCCGCAGGATTCCGAGGACGACTAGGAGATATATTACCACGAGAGTGGTGATCTCGCAGCTGAAGCCCTCGAAGGAAACCTCACTATCCTCCCCGAAATCCCGATCTCGACGACCGCGAAGGTCAGCATCGAGGATCTACAGGTGGGAGACTCCGGATCGGCCACACCCGAGGAGATCGAGAGGCTCCGACAGATCATTTGGAAGAAACGACACCTCCTGATCGGAAAAGGGAACGCCTTACCCCCGGCGGCCAATGGCGTCATGTGTGACATCGATGTCGGAAATGCGAAACCGATCGCACTTCGAACCCGGAAAGTGCCCACGCAATTTCGAGAAAAAATCGCAGCCCTCATCAAGGGCCTCCTGGCAGCCGAGATCATCCGACCCTCGACATCGCCATGGGCCTCACCGATCGTGATTTTCCGCAAGAGTAACGGCGTGGCTATTAGGTTGTGCATTGACTACAAGTTGGTAAACAGCCTCACGAGGTTGATGGGCTACCCTATGTCCCTGATCAGCGATCTGCTAGAAGATCTTGATAAAGCACTACGGTACTGTTCGCTGGATATGGCCAGTGGCTTCTGGGTCGTGCCCATGACAGATCGGGCTCGCGAGAACTCATGAGTTATCATCCCGTTTGGATTTTTCGAATAGAGTCGCACACCTTTTGGCCTAAAGAATGCCCCGCAGATTTATCAACGCCCCGTAGACAACGCGGTGTATGGAGTTTTGAAGATCTCGCGATCTGGCGACGCCGGGGCTACAACGGATGCATTCCAGACAGGGATCGCGGACGATCCTGATCGCGAGTCAGTGTTGG